GCCACACAAATTCAATTTTTCGGTTCACGTAACAATCAGTATGTATATTACCTTATTTGTATCCGGGATTGATGGATAAAACAGGAAAAATAAAATATATGGATTTTAATTATACTCTTCCTGCAGAATGTATTATAAATCTAATGTTTACTAGTACAAAAGATTTTAAATTTATATTATATCATAATCGGATTTATATATTTTTCTCAATTATTCTCATTACATGTTTCGCTTTCTATAGAGAAATTTTCCTATATTTCGGACATCAGGAGTTAAAACAAGGCGTGGATCTGCAAAATTTTACGTCTTTAAAAAATTACGCAAATTCACACCACCTACGGGGGTATACGGGTGTACAAAAATAGTGAATAACCTTAATAATAAGAATTTTCGCATTTTTTTTAAAATAAAAATTTTACGTATCTTTTTATCAATGAGAATTTATATATGTTTTCAATAATAAAGATTCACGTATTTTTTCAATAATAAAAATTTTCGCGCTTCTTTTAAAATAAAAATTTTCATATTTTTTCAATAATAAAAACTTTCGCATTTTTTAATAATGAAATTTTTTACATTTATTTAATAATAAAATTTTACATCTTTTCGTTGCATTTCTTTACTAATAAAATTTATATTCTATTACAAACAATTATGAATTGAACAGTAAAATAACTACTCAAATAATCTCGCGTCATCATCATCTTCAGAAATTTCTTCAACATTATCATTATAATTAGTCATTTCTCTTGATCCTTCCTGAATTTCCGAAATATCACTTTCTTTTGGAAATGTATTTTCATTTAATAATACCTACCAAAGTAACAAATTAATGATAATTCCGATCATCATTTCTATAGATTTAAATTATAAACATACCAAGAAAATAGATGATCGTTGCTTAATGGCGTCTTCTGTGCATCTTATTTCGTCACTATGTGGATTTAAAACAATACAACAGACGGCAAGAGCAAATGAAATTATTGAAGGTGTTAAACAATTTTCCTTGGATTCTTTTGGCATTGCCTTCATAATAATTCCATTAATTACGAAAAGTCCAGTATTGTAAACTTTCCACAAATTCGCGTATGCTTCTGTAACACAAGGACTTTTTTTCCAATCAGTAATTTTAGCACCCAAATTTGTTTTAATTTCCGGAATATTGCATGTTTTAAAAAGTGTAGCTCTTATTTCTTTTGCGAGTATACCTCGACGATTTTTCATCTTGTCGAGACACTAGTATATTATCAAATAAATAACAAGATTAATATTCATAAAAATTATTATATTAAAGACTTTAAAAATAAATAACACTTACGATAGGCATAAATTCAGAGTAAAATCGAGAATCCCAACGATGTCTCCCAATATCATTAATATATCCCTTAGACCCTTTTTCAATATATACCTCAAGATATTCCTTGAATAATTCTGGAATGGGGTATAAGGATTTCTTTTGTATTTATTTAGTAATCGTTACAATACCTTTCTGTTAAAAAAAGTTCAAATGTTGTCAAAAATATTTACAAATCTAGGATCAAAAACAACATTTACTTTAAAAAAAGAGGGTGATAAAGATTCTTCACAATGTATTTTTAAAAGTATTTGTTTTATATCATCAAGTCTCTTTTCTTGTTTCAATTGGTTTTTCCATAAAACTTTATTTTGATTGTTTAATTTTTCAAGAAACTTTATGGGAATTATATAGTATTCTTCATTTTCACTTTCTATTTAAGTGGAAAATGTAAATCTTAAAAATATACATTCAAATTTTGGAAGTACGCACCAGTAGTTTTTTTAGCTTTTGGCATTAAATTATCAGTATCATTTTTTCTATATTTTCTTGGAGTTTCTGATTCATTCTCCTCGGATACATCACTACTATCTTCTTCCTCCTCATTGGTAACCTTTTCTTTATCAGGAACTTCATTAAGGGGTTGTTAAAGAAATGAAATTAATATGCAAAAATAATTAGCATTTTATAGTACACAAATTAATTATATATCTACATATATAAAATTGATTTTACCATGAATTTGTTGATCGTGAATTTCATTTTTGAAGACTTTCTTGATGATCATCTTGACTATTTCTTTCAGGATTATCCTGACGAACTTTTCAATAATTGTGAGAAAGTTTATTACTTAGTTCCACTAGCCACAGTTTAATAATTCTTTGTTTATTTTGCAGTAAAGAAATTATCATTAATAAAAAATTTTAAATACCATCATTAAATTGCCTTTGACTTCTAAGACTTCTAAGAGGTACACGAGTAGTTTGAGTTATTGAATTGGTTTTTCTTCCCTTTCCTCTTTTTTTACTAGATCTTTCCATATCTGCCATGATTATTTTTAATAGTTGTATTGTAAAAAAAGGTTATTAAATGAAAAACAGAGAATTAAATAGGGATGGAAAGAAGATTTAAAATAACTTTACTGTATTTATATGATCATGAGTTTATTAATAGCTTACTAATAAGTTTAATTGAAGTACTAATAAGTTTAATTGAAGCATATTTATACATCATTTTGACCTCATTTTGCATCTCTGTGTAACCCTTATTTTAATTTGTATACTGTATAATAATTTTATGAATATGATTGCTAAAGTTCACCGGTAGTGATAGTTACCGTACCAGCATTATAATGTACTTTCAACCAGAATTAAAAAATCTAATAAAATACTGGCCAGTATTACATCATATTGATGACCAACACCACTGGTGATGTTTAGCAATATCCTAATTTTATTATGATACAAATTAATATATATGAATTTCAGTTTAATATTTAATCTATGTACTATTATTAAATGACTGTACTGTATTAAATAATTATGATATCATTACTGACAATTATATCATTTATATTATATAATTGCACTATATAGTTATTTCATCCAGTTATTATTAAATATTTATGTAACATTGTTTCTCTTTAGGTCCAATCCTGCTTTGATTTTATGGATGTTCTCGGCTATTAATGTTAAAAAGTTATGATGTAGTACCATTAGATTCTATAAAACACAGTGTTCATATTATACCAAGATTTCATAAAGAAAATGAATTTTTGATGAATAGAAATATTTTCTAAATTGTATATATATTATCATTTCTTGGTTCAAATATTTAGTATTATATATTGTACTAATAAAGTTTTAAAATGATAATTATATTAAGCGTAAGTTATACAAAATAGTATATTTACGAATATTTTTAGTAAAGTGAGTTATCAAAACTACCCATTTAAGTAAAATTTATGCGAATTTTTAAAATAAAAATTATCGAGACTATATATTTAAGTGTACATTACACAAATCCGTAAATCTACAGATTTTTTCAAGATGTAAATTTTCGAGTATATACATATTTGATGATTCTACACTATTACTCGCATGATTTAACCTCCTGATGCGGAAAAAGAAAGATAAAGGCGCGATTTATTTCGTACAATATAACAAAATCATGGTATTGGTAAATCTTGCATAAATTTGTGTAATTGTAACCAAGTGTTACTTTCATGAAAGATGCCAACAAGATTATTTCCTTTACAAAAATTTTAATAATCTTTGACACTCGCACGCTATTATACAATATTTGTTACAATTTAATACAAGACGCGGAGATTGAGAATTTTTAATATCATTAAAAAACCGAACAGTGTTTGGACAATATTTTTTATTGGGAATTATTATAGACGCAAAATCAATTAAACAATGCCCCGATCTTATCGCGTCCATTCATGTCTCTTCCGTTTTAAAATACTAAAACGCCAACAGAGTTATATTATTTCTTTTACAAAAATTTTAATAATTGTTCATGTAATAATAAATTATTATGGACACAAAATCAATTAAGCAATGCCCCGATCTTAACTTGTCCATTCACGTCTCTTCTGTTTTAAAATACTAAAACGCCAACAGAATTAAATTAAATTATAGGCACAAAAATTAAACAATGCCCCGACTCTAACGCCATTCACGCTATCAGAATCAAACAGATTATTTTCTTTTACAAAAAATTTTAATAATCACTAATAATAAAATCATAAACGCAAAACAATTAAGCAATGCCCCGATCTTAACGTGTCCATTTACGTCTCTTCCGTTTTAAAATACTAAAACGCCAACAGAGTTATATTATTTCCTTTTACAAAAATTTTAATAATCGTTTATGTAATAATAAGTTATTATAGACACAAAAACAATTTAGAAATGCCCCGATCTTAACGTCCATTCACGTCTCTTCCGTTTTAAAATACTAAAACGCCAACAGAGTTAGACTATTTCCTTTACAAAAATTTTAATAATCGTTTATATAATAATAAATTATTATAGACACAAAAATAATTAAGCAATGCCCCGATCTTAACGTGTCCATTCACGTCTCTTCTGTTTTAAAATACTAAAACGCTGAAAAAGTTAGATTATTTCTTTTACAAAAATTTTATAATCGTTTATGTAATGATAAATTATTATGGACACAAAATCAATTAAGCAATGCCCCGATCTTAACGTGTCCATTCACGACTCTTCTGTTTTAAAATACTTAAAACGCCAACAGAATTAGATTATTTCTTTTATATAGGCACAAAAATTAAACAATGCCCCTGACTCTAACGCCATTCATGTTTTTTTCAAATACTAAAACGCCAACAGAATTAAACAGATTATTTCTTTTTTTACAAAAAATTTTAATGATCATTTTTGTACTAATAATAAATCATGGGCGCAAAACCAATTAAGCATATGCCCCCAATTTTAACGCGTCCAAGCATTCACGTTTCTTCTGTTTTAAAAAATATGTGAACAGATACACTATAAGTAATATATAAAAATAACTTTATATACACTAATATCTGTCATTATCTATACATAGTTTTGTGCAATGTCAAATATTTAAATGTTATAAATACGTCCTTTTTTTTGTATATTTTTTTTTATCTCTTTAAATATACGCATATTATTTTATCTCCTCTTTAATATACGTTATACAAACGAAAATGCATTCTCAAAAAAGACAGAAACAACTAAGAAGACAAAGAATTATAAGAAGACATTTTCGACCTAACATACTTATTAATAATGGTAACACATTGAGGCTTATCGCGAACCTTCCGCAGCAAAGTACAAGTGTTTTATTAATTACTCAATTTTTCAACGGATTTCCTTTTTAATCAGAGATTTTTTTTTATTAATAATAAATAAATGGTATTCGTTTCCTTTTTCAAAAATCTTGTATTATGTATTTGTATGTATCTAAAATCTTGTTTATGTATTGTATGTATCTTCTCCTGATTTTCTATTATGATCCACTATAAGATATTACCAATTTTTTTTTTACCTATGATATAGTTGTTCTTATATAGTTATGTTTAATGATTATTAATTTTTGATTTTTTTTTAATAAAAAAAATGATCTGATAAATTAAAGTGATGATCATCGAGTTTGTCCATGTTTGGGATTATGACAGCCCAAACCAGTTTTTCCATCATGGGGCTGGACAAATCCCAAAAGTTTGGGTTTGGGCGTCGAGCATAGCGGGCTTTCTTATTTATCACATTAATTTGCCGATCATTTTCCGATTTTATCACATGATTTACAAGACATTCTATGTACATATTAATATGACCTCAAATACTATTGCAAATAAATTTATTGTACTTTAAATTTTATCATACAAATTTTTATTCAAATTGAGTTATTATTTAGCTGATACCACTACATTCGCTACTCTAATTTCGTTTGCAATTAAAGTTCAACCTCCGACTGGAAAACAATTTGTAATTAGAGCTGCGGATGGGGCGTTAGAATATATGCCAGATGACTTAGTTCGAGAAGTCATTACTGGCGTTGAACATACATAAATTATTGTTTGCATAGAAGATGTAGGGATTGGAATCGATTTTACAATAATCGAATTTATCGAAAATCGATAAGAATAAAATCGAATTTACTTATTGTGGCGCAGTAGCGTTAATAAGATTTCCCCTGCGTACCCTACAAGTATTGGCCTATTTGTCACACATTATTTGTCACATAGTTAATTTCTTAATTTCTTAATGCCGGCCGTTTCGTGACATTTTGGGGTAGTCCGTTA